AGGACATAGGAGGCTCCAGCCCCCAAGTATAGGCTTTTTAAACAGGAGTCACTCTCTAGACAAGGATGTCATGGACAAAAAACAGCATGGAAAAATAACATAGTTTGAGAGCACACATATAGAAAAAGGTTCAGAAGAATTTGCCTGCAAGTTTCATGATGGTGGGGTTGCTTCTTGTTGCCTTGTTTATACCAACAATCTTGTGTGTGATATACAATTTGTAGATATTTGTAGTCTGAAGGAAAAATAAAACTGTTAAGGCATGATGTTTGTCTGATAGATTAGATCATGGCCCCTTTAACATATTTTCTTTGTAATGGTTTCTGTTTGTTTTTTTTTAAAATGTACTTTTCTATAAACAAGATGTTGACATTTCAATTTTCAAAAAATACCCTAAAATGCAATGCAGCACAGATTGCAGCTATCAGCAAAGCATTAATAATGGAGAGTGATCCAGATGAAGATCTAAAGGAGACCCTCTCAAATTTATCTCAACTACATTACTGATTATTGGTACTCTTTTTGAAATACCTATTAGACTATGAGTTTCAGGGTCTATATCTGTGAAAGATAAGACAAACACCAATACTTCACAAAATATTCTTGAAGATTACATGGGGATTTTATATATATATATATATATATATATGTATATATATGAGAAACACTTTTAATGTGAAAAGGCTAAGGCTTATATTAGATACATAAGCTAATATCTATTTTCATAGATAACAATTAATTGATGATGGCAAAGATTTAAGGTTATTGTTAATATTGGTTAAGAGTTCTACTTTAAAAGTAAAATGTGGCTAAAAATGAGAAAAAAATCAGAAAAGTACAGTATAGATATCTGTCACTTTTAATCCTCTTGATTTCATTATTCCACAAAATCCCAGAGGGAATTTATTTATACAAGACCATCTTCTACTCCATTAATGGGCATAGTAAAACTAGAGATGATGTCACTCTCCTGTTTTCTTTATATAGTTAACTGTGGCCACTTTCCATTAGTCCATCTAGATGAGGCTTTTGGTATCATCTGATTTTGGGGTCAATCAGATAGGAAGACAGGAAAAAAGAATCAAAAGGGTAACTATTATTATTTTTACTTGGGTTTCTGTCACATTATGTTAATGTTTGAACTTATTTCTAAATTTTTTCACTATCATCTATTTCTCTGGAGAGAAGCAAATGTTTTTTTCTCTTGAATCTTTCATATTACATTTATTTACTGCAACATATTAGGATATGAGTTTTGATTTCCAGTTATATATAGACAAAAGAATACATACCCTCCTACATTAATGTAATTTCTTTTCTTGAGGCTGAAATTAATAGAAAAAAAAGGGACTAATTTTACTTGGTATGGGTGTTATTTCTGGATATTAGAACATTGAAATAAGTGTCTCAATCATACCTGTTTCCTAGAAGAAATCTACAGTTGTTAGCTAATACCCAAATTGTAGACTGTGGAGGGAACAGTGGGTTCTACAGTATTTATGCAGTATTACAGATTCTGTGTCCCAACTCCTGAGCCTAGACACAAGTCTAGGCAGATGCCCCAGGAACCTGAATTATTTAATTTGTAAAAGGAGAAAATAAGATGAGTAAGTACTTCATAGGCTCTTGGGTACGAAAAACACAGTAATGCAATAAAATAATTGCTTAGAATCTGCCAGATTAATGTAAGATTTGTTACTACTCTACTACTACTGTTAATAATTACTCAAGTTTAATAAGTACCATTTTGTTGATTTTGAACTCAGGCAATTTGGTAGAGAAAAGTAAGAAAAAAATTGGCCTCCCTTTTGAATAGGGAGGCCAATTGTTTTTTGTGGTACAAACAGAATTCCCTTATTATCAGCAAAGCATTAATAATGGAGAGTGATCCAGATGAAGATCTAAAGGAGACCCTCTCAAATTTATCTCAACTACATTACTGATTATTGGTACTCTTTTTGAAATACCTATTAGACTATGAGTTTCAGGGTCTATATCTGTGAAAGATAAGACAAACACCAATACTTCACAAAATATTCTTGAAGATTACATGGGGATTTTATATATATATATATATATATATATGTATATATATGAGAAACACTTTTAATGTGAAAAGGCTAAGGCTTATATTAGATACATAAGCTAATATCTATTTTCATAGATAACAATTAATTGATGATGGCAAAGATTTAAGGTTATTGTTAATATTGGTTAAGAGTTCTACTTTAAAAGTAAAATGTGGCTAAAAATGAGAAAAAAATCAGAAAAGTACAGTATAGATATCTGTCACTTTTAATCCTCTTGATTTCATTATTCCACAAAATCCCAGAGGGAATTTATTTATACAAGACCATCTTCTACTCCATTAATGGGCATAGTAAAACTAGAGATGATGTCACTCTCCTGTTTTCTTTATATAGTTAACTGTGGCCACTTTCCATTAGTCCATCTAGATGAGGCTTTTGGTATCATCTGATTTTGGGGTCAATCAGATAGGAAGACAGGAAAAAAGAATCAAAAGGGTAACTATTATTATTTTTACTTGGGTTTCTGTCACATTATGTTAATGTTTGAACTTATTTCTAAATTTTTTCACTATCATCTATTTCTCTGGAGAGAAGCAAATGTTTTTTTCTCTTGAATCTTTCATATTACATTTATTTACTGCAACATATTAGGATATGAGTTTTGATTTCCAGTTATATATAGACAAAAGAATACATACCCCTCCTACATTAATGTAATTTCTTTTCTTGAGGCTGAAATTAATAGAAAAAAAAGGGACTAATTTTACTTGGTATGGGTGTTATTTCTGGATATTAGAACATTGAAATAAGTGTCTAAATCATACCTGTTTCCTAGAAGAAATCTACAGTTGTTAACTAATACCCAAATTGTAGACTGTGGAGGGAACAGTGGGTTCTACAGTATTTATGCAGTATTACAGATTCTGTGTCCCAACTCCTGAGCCGAGACACAAGTCTAGGCAGATGCCCCAGGAACCTGAATTATTTAATTTGTAAAAGGAGAAAATAAGATGAGTAAGTACTTCATAGGCTCTTGGGTACGAAAAACACAGTAATGCAATAAAATAATTGCTTAGAATCTGCCAGATTAATGTAAGATTTGTTACTACTCTACTACTACTGTTAATAATTACTCAAGTTTAATAAGTACCATTTTGTTGATTTTGAACTCAGGCAATTTGGTAGAGAAAAGTAAGAAAAAAATTGGCCTCCCTTTTGAATAGGGAGGCCAATTGTTTTTTGTGGTACAAACAGAATTCCCCTATCTGTCTGGTATCCTAGGTATTCAGTGTCACTTGAACACAGTGACTTTCATTTACCAAAGAAATGTAAGTCCCACTTCCCACTTGCCCTCTGCTCTCTTTTCATTTATTCAACAAATAGATTTGAGGTCTTCACTTGTACCAGCCACTGCACTGGTCCTTGCTTCATTCTGACCACAAATAGACTCAGTCACAGGTGTATTTGGTCTTAATTGTACAGTTTAAAAATTTTACACAGATGGAGCTCAGCATTCATTTGCCAGTGAAAGTAGAAATTAACAGAAATATATGTTAGTGCAATGTGTGGCAAATTTGTTGTATATCTATGTTAAAGCACCAAATACACTTTCAAAGTTGTCTGAAGCTTCATCACTCCAGAACATAGGGTTGTTAATAAGCTGAATATTGTAATTAGCTTGGGGATTATTACAAGAATATAAAATATATTTGAAACTTGGAAATTCTACATGAAATATTACTGCATCATCAATTCATTTCAGTTCAGTCGCTCAGTCATGTCAGACTCTTTGCGATCCTATGAATCGCAGCACGCCAGGCCTCCCTGCCCACCACCAACTCCCAGAGCTTACTCAAACTCATGTCCATCGAGTCGGTGATGCCATCCAGCCATCTCATCCTCTGTAGTCCCCTTCTCCTCCTGCCCCCAATCTCTTCTAAACTCTTCCCAGAAAGAAGCCAATATTTCCTATTGTTGATAAAGACTTATAAAACTTAACATTTAACATGTAAGAAAATGAAAAGCTCCAAAATGTAATCTGCCTGATAGAAATTGTAGGGGAAACTACTAATTCTCTTAAGAAAGTTCAGGTGTATTTTTTTCTACTGTTCTTAATAATTTATTTTGTATCTCTTTAAAATTTCTAGTTCAAATCACATTTATGTAATATTTCTCCCTGATTGACTGATTATGACCTCTTTAAGTGTAACCAAGTTTAATTATTTTTTATTTGTCTTCAGCATTGAACACAGATATGTACTGTGAGCAGCAGGATAGCGGGCAGAACATTATATGGAGTCAGAGACTTCTCAGTGTTGTTCAGTTTTCCTTTATGCATCTTTTTCCATGAAAACTTGATTGCTGTAGGCAATAAAGCAGATAATGCTTGCAAAACAAATGAATGCCTTGTCTTGTAAATGGCAGTGACCTTCTAAGTGCTAGTTCTTTTCCCTGATATTTGAAACAAATGGTAGGAACTATTAGGAGATGAAGTTGCAGAAGCATGTACTAGATAAAACAGAGATGGGATTCTGTATAAAACTCTGCTTATCCACAGTTAAAATTGGAAATGTTATATTTATTTATATTTATATACTCTTATTTTCTTAATTATATATTTATGTAGAGTTTGCATCAGGAAATCTCATGATGTTGAACTTTGGCAAACTTACTATTAGTAATTGATTGTTTTAACCCACAATATACTCACTGAAAAACAAGTTGTGAATTCCTTCTCTTTCAAAGAATGTATTGAATTGCATGAATCTTATAATCCTCAAATCTACAACCCCATAACATTTCCTCTTATTAGCACAACTGGATTGCATACATGGCTGTGCATGCAGGTGTGTATGCACACACGGACAAAAACACAAACACACATGCAGCAGAAGCACACTAAACATTAATATCAGGTGGTCATATTGCATGAACAATCTATTAATTACAAAGCTCTCCTTGCTTATCTAGGTGAAACTTCATGGACAACTCCACCTGGGCAGCCAACTACACTGGACAGTTGGATTTCATCCTCGTGGGACTCTTCAGTCAATCCAAGCACCCAGCTCTCCTTTGTGTGGTCATTTTTGTGATTTTCCTGATGGCCTTGTCTGGTAATAGCATCCTGATCTTTCTGATACATTCTAATGCCCATCTCCAAACCCCCATGTATTTTTTTATCAGCCAGTTGTCTCTCATGGATGTGATGTACATTTCTGTCACTGTGCCAAAGATGCTCATGGACCAGGTCATGGGTGTGAATGAGATTTCAGCCCCTGAATGTGGAATGCAGATGTTTCTCTATTTGACTCTAGTAGGTTCAGAATTTTTTCTTCTGGCTGCCATGGCCTATGACCGCTATGTGGCCATCTGTCATCCACTCCGTTATTCTACTCTCATGACCCATACAGTATGTCACCTCTTGGTGTCTGGCTGCTGGTTCCTGGGATCAGTGGACGGCTTTATGCTCACACCAGTCACCATGACCTTTCCCTTCTGCAAAACCAGGGAGATCCATCACTTCTTCTGTGAGGTCCCTGCGGTAATGAAGCTCTCCTGCTCAGACACTTCTCTCTATGAGACACTCATGTACCTGTGCTGTGTCCTCATGCTCCTCATCCCCGTGACAGTCATTTCAAGCTCTTATTCATTCATCCTCCTCACCATCCACAGGATGAATTCAGCAGAGGGCAGGAAGAAGGCTTTCACGACTTGTTCTTCCCACATGACTGTGGTCATCCTGTTCTTTGGGGCTGCAGTCTATACCTACATGCTCCCCAGCTCCTACCACACCCCTGAGAAGGATATGATTGTATCTGTATTTTACACCATACTCACTCCTGTTCTTAACCCTTTAATCTATAGTCTTAGGAATAAGGATGTCACAGGGGCTCTAAAGAAAATGTTAAACATGGGATCTGTCACAACACTGTAAAGTAAGACATTTTTGTACTAATGGTTTATTTTCCTTCACTGTACATATCAGAAATGTATAGTCTTATGCCAATATTATTCTTCAGATTTTCATGCCATGATGTATCATCCCATATTCATCCCTGAGAGAGTTGATAGGCAGTCCAGGGCCCTTCCAGTAGGAGGTGAGCATTCTCCCTCATGTTTTCCTTAAGTCTTGTGCAACAATGTATCTTGCCCAAGGATTGGCCTTTCTTTAAGTCAAGAGTTAATGATCACACAGCTGATGTCTTACTCATGGAAATGCTTTTCTTAAACATTTCTTATACTACATTAGAATTTTTTAAAAATAGATGAAATTAGTTTAAAATCTGAGTAATGCATGGATCTTACCTTGAAGGAATTTGAACTGTAAATATAGTTTGTGCAGTAATTGTAATTGCTGTTACTCAGTCACTAAGTTGTTTTTGACTCTTTGTGACCCCATGGACTGCAGCATGCCAGGCTCCTCTGTCTTCCACTATCTCCCAGAATTTGCTTAAATTCAGTATCTGGGTGTTTTCCAATGAAACAGCTTTTCACATCAGGTGGTCACATTGACCACATTGACATTGGAACTTCAGCTTTAGCATCAGTCCTTCCAAATAATATTCAGGGTTGATTTTCCTTTAAGATTGATTGGTTTCATCTCCTTGCTGTTAAGGGATTCTCAAGAATCTTCTCCAACACCACAGTTCAAAGCCATCAATTCTTTGGTGCCTAGCCTTCTTTACAGTCCAACCCTCACATCCATACATGACTACTGGAAAAATGATAACTTTGACTATACACACCTTTGTCAGTAAAGCGATGTCTCTGCTTTTTAAAATGTTGTTAAGGTTTGTCATAGCTTTCCTTCCAAGGAGCAAGCATCTTTTAACTTCATGGCTGCAGTCACCATCCATAGTGATTTTGAAGCCCAAGAAAATAAAATCTGTCACTGCTTCCACTATTTCCCTTTCTATTTGCCCTGAAGTGATGGGAATGGATGCCATGACCTTAGATTTCTTTCTTTCTTTTTTTTAAATGTTGAGTTTCAAGCCAGCTTTTTCATTCTGCCTTTTCACCCTCATCAAGGTGCTTTTTAGTTCCTCTTTTCTCTCTGTTATGAGAGTAGTATCATCTGCCTATCTGAGGTTGTTGATATTTCTCCCAGGAATCTTGATTCCATCTTATGATTCATACATCTTAGCATTTCACACGATGCTCTCTGCATGTAAGTTAAATAAGCAGGGTGACAATATATAGCCTTTTGGTACTCCTTTCCCAATTTTGAACCAGTCCATTGTACTGTGTCTGGTTCTAACTATTGCTTGTTGACCCACAAACAGATTTCTCAGGAGACAGATAAGGTGTTCTGGTACTTAATCTCTCTCTATTCACAAATGATAAGATATTGTATATTAAAAATTCTAAGAAATATAAACAAACACTACTGAATTCTATTAGTTCAGTACAATATAAGACAAATATGCAAATAATGTATTTCTAAATGCCAGGTATTAACATTCTGAAAATGAAATTTAAAAAATAATTAGTCAAAGAAGAAAATATCAAGCATTTGGGGAGAAATTGAACAAAACTACTGTTAAGATTTGTACACTGAAAACTACAAAACTTTGTTGAAAAATTTTAGAAAGACCTTAAACAAACAGAAATGCATCTCATATTCATAAATCAAAGATTTAATATTATTAGGATGGAAACACTGCTTAACTTAATTTACAGATTAAATACAATCTTTGTCAAAATTGCAGCTGGCTCTTCTGTAGAAATTTGGAAGCTGATCCTAAAATTTATATAGCATTGCAAAGTACTTTGAAAAGCCAAACCAATAAGCAGAAATAATAAACTTGGAAAATTCCACTTCCCAATTATAAAAACTGCTACAAAACTACAGATATCAAAAGAGCATTCCACTTGCATAAAGTGAAGTGAAAGTTGCTCAGTCATGTCCAACTCTCTGTGACCCCATGGACTGTACAGTCCATGGAATTCTCCAGGCCAGAATACTGGAGTGGGTAGCCTTTCCCTTCTCCAGGGGATCTTCCCAACCCACTTGCATAAAGGTAGACATTTAGATTAATGGAGTAGGATTTTTTTTGTCTAAAAACAAACACACATTTACGGGCAATTTATTTTCAACAGAAGTTCCAAGACAGCAGGGAAAGAATAGACTATTTAACAAAAAGCACTGCAACAAGTAGATATCCATGTTTAAAAAAAAAAAAAAAAAGAACTTGGTCCCCCAACTCACAACTTACACAAAAATTAACTGAAAATAAAGACCTAAATTCAAAGATAAAAATATAAACCCTTTGGGGAAAAAATATATATGTAAATCTTCATGACCTTTTGGCTTCTTAAATATGGGACTAAATGAACCAGATTCCAAAAGAAAAAAAAATAATTTCATTTTCAAACTGAAATACCAAGTTCCCCATAGAATGGAAGAAAGCCCCCCTAGGCTCACCTGAGTTCCAGAAATTTGTCCAAGGACAACCATTTAAAGGTGTACCACTAATCAGAGTGAGGGTAAGGAGTGATTGTGTGAATAGGAGTGATTTTGTGAGTAGAGCAATCCTCCTATTCACACAATGAATGAAATGAATCCAAGAGAGTGTGAGTGGGTAAACAAGAGAGACTAAACAAAGAGGACAGATAGATGGAGAAAGAGAAATATGGACAGACAGATGGGATACCTGGACTGATGAAGGAACAGTGGACATAAGGAGAGTCAAAGAGGAGGAAAGAAGAATAAATACCAGGAAGAAAAGTTGAGAGATGAATGGAAGTACAGAATAAAAGAAGGACAAACAAGTGAATGATTATTTGGATGGATGAAAGAAATGAAGGATTAATAAAAGAAGAAATGGAAGGAGGGAGATTTGTGTTTGAGAGAACAGATAACTGGGAAAAGGAGACCTCGAACACAATAAGTTTAAAAAGAAAAAGGAAAGGCAGAGAAATACTGCACAAATGAAGGAACAATCTAAAAACACACAAGTCCAAATAAATGAAGAGAAAATAGGCAAACAACCTGAAAAAGAATTTAGAATAATATAGTAAAGATGATCCATAACCTTGAAAACAGAATTTAGAAAATGAAAGAATCAATGAACAAGGCCTAGAAGAATTAAAGAATAAACATACAGAGACAAGCAACACAATTACTGAAATTAAAAACACTCTAGAAGGAATCAATAGCACAATATCTGAAGCAGAAGAATGGATCAGTGAGCTGGAAGGTAGAATGGTGGAAATAACTGCTGAAGAACAGAATAAAGGAAAAAGAATGAAAAGAATTGAGAATAGTCTCAGAGACCTCTGGGACAACATTAAATGCTCCAACATTCAAATTATAGGGGTCCCAGAAGAAAAAGAGAAAAAGTGTATGAGAAAATTTTTGAAGATATTGCAGTTGAAGATTTCCCCAACATGGGGAAGGAAATAGTCAATCAAGTCCAAGAAGTGCAGAGTCCCATATGAGATAAAAGAAGAAACATGCCAAGATACATACTAATCAAACTAACAAATACTTAGCACAAAGAAAGAATATTGAAAGCAGCAAGAGAAAAACAACAAGTAACATACAAGGGGAAGCCCTATGTTTAACAGCTGATCTTTCAGCAGAAACTTTGCAGGCCAGAAGGGAATGGCAGTATATATTTAAAATACTGAAAGAGAAAAACCTACGACCAAGATTATTCTACCTGGCAGGCATCTCATTCAAAATTGATGGAGAAATCAAGCTTTACAGACAAGCAAAAGTTAAGAAAATTTACTACCGTCAAACCAGCTTTAAACAAATGTTAAGGGACTTATATATTCAGGAAATACAAGAGAAGGAAAAGATCTACAAAAACAAATCCCAAACAATTAAGAAAATGGCAATAGGAACATATATATCAATAATTACTTTACCTTGTTGCATCATGTATATGACTACTAACACTTTTCTTCCCCTTTACAGAGTGAATAAAGGTTTGAGTTCTAAACTCATTAAAAAAAATAATAATTACTTTAAATATAAATGGATTAAATGCTTCAATCAAAAGACATAGACTGACATAGAGTGGTTGAATGGGTACAACAATACCCATATATATGCTGTCTACAAGAAACCCATTTTGGACCTAAAGACACATATAGACTGAAAATGAGAGGATGAAAAAATATTCCACGGAAGTGAAAGTCAAAAGAAAGCTGGAGTAGCAATCCTCATGTCAGACAAAATAGACCTTAAAATAAAGAATACTACAAGAGATAAGGAAGGACACTATGTAATGATCAAGGGGTCAATTCAAGAGGAAGACATAGCAATTGTAAATATCTATGCACCTAACATAGGGGTAACTTGATAGATAAGGCAAACACTAACAGACATAAATTGAGAAATTCACAGTAACACAATAGTAGTAGGAGACTTTAACACCCCTCTTATACCAAAGGACAGATCATCAAAACAGAAAATTAATAAGGAAGTACAAGTCTTAAATGACACATTAGACCAGAGGGATCTCATTGATATCTTCAGGATATTCCATCCAAATGCAGAATACATCTTTTTCTCAAGTGCACATGGAACATTCTCCAGGATAGACTACATCTTGGGTCACAAATTAACTTTCAGTAAATTTAAGAAGATTGAAATCATATCAAGCATCTTTCCTGATGATGACACTATGAGATTAGATAGCAGCTACAACAAAAAGACTAAAAAACACAAACAACCTGGAGATTAAACAATATGTTTCTAAGTAACCATCAGATTACTGAAGAAATAGAAAGGGAAATCAAGAAAATTTCCAGAAACAAATGACAATGAAAACACAACAACTCAAAACCTATGGGATATAACCTGCCCAGGTTGGGTACATGAGACAAGTGCTCCGGCCTGGTGCACTGGGAAGACCCAGAGGGATCGGGTGGAGAGGGAGGTGGGAGGGGGGACTGGGATGGGGAATACATGTAAATCCANTAAAACCGGAAAAAGACAACACAAAAAAAGAAAACTACAGGCCAATACCACTGATGAACACAGCTGCAAAAATCTTGAGCAAAATTCTAGCAAACAAAAATTCCACAGCACATTAAAAAGCTCATACACCATGATAAGGTTGGGTTTATTCCAGGGATGCAAATATTCTTCAATATACACAAAATCAATGTGATACACTGTATTAACATATTGAAAGATAAAAACCATATGAAAATCATAATAGATGAAGAAAAAGACTGATTCATAAAAAAAGCTTTTATGATAAAAACTCTTCAAAAAACGGGCATAGAAGGAACCTACCTCAACATATCATATATGGACTTTACTCCTTGGAAGAAAAGATATGACCAATCTAGACAGCATATTAAAAAGCAGAGACATTACTTTGCCAACAAAGGTCCATCTAGTCAGAGCTATGGTTTTTTCAGTAGTCATGTACGAATGTTAGTTGGATTATAAAG